GGTGTTTGGCGGGAAATGCAAATGCATTACCATTTCTACGGAGCAAGTCGCCACATGTTCCAACCCCCAACCTGGAGGGCCAGGAGACTGTGTTCGTCAGACCTCTAACCATTGACCAACCTGGTATGAGAGACTCTGTGAGTGTCGCGAGACACTTTCCAGTAGCTCAATGGATCGCTGAGGTGCGCAAACCGTCACACCACGGTAAGAGTCTGTCTCTTCGTGACGGATGGCGTACGTGCGGGATGGCTCATGAGTTAGAGTGTGAATTTGCTGACCGGAAAATCCGTGGGTCCCGATTTCTAAGGTCCAGTCTCTTCGTGACGGATGGCGTACGTGCGGGATGGCTCATGAGTTAGAGTGTGAATTTGCTGACCGGAAAATCCGTGGGTTGAACCCGATTTCTGCTTCTGGACTTCCCCCGTCTAGGATTGGGAAACCTGGTAGTATCCCAGTCCTCGTGCATCATTCTGGTGGCATTGCAGCTAGGCACCAAAAGGGTGCTACAGCTGAACGATAGTTTCGATCGCGTACGAGTATACGGCATGCTTTCGCCTGAATTCACCTGAATTCACTCACCTTTCCTCTTCAACTTTGTTATTGATATGCTCGAAATTTCTCTGCCTGCCGCTGAAACCTCAGAAGTTGAAATTCTCACAAATACTGAGTATACGAACATTAGCGCTCTCCTTGGTTCAGGTTATCATCAAATGCAGACGATTTTAAATAACTTAAATAACTCTGCTGAATAGTTGGGCATACGCTTCTCACCTGCGAAGTGTAAAGTGCTGCCACAAAATTGGGTTGGATCAAACCCAAACCTCATGTTTGCAGACGGGCCGACCGGCGTGGGAGATAAATTTGTATTAGCTCCGGTGGACTGACTGGAGATGAGGTTACTTCTCGAATCTGGAAGGCCAGGACAGCTTTTATCAAACTCCGACACCTTTGGCGCTGAAGTGACGTCAGTTTGTCGAGGGCAGAGTGTACACTTCGGCGGTGCGTTCCATACTGCTTTATGGATCAGAAGCGTGGTCTCTACGCGCAGAGGACATACGAAAGATGTCGATGTTTGACCATTGGTGCCTCCGAAGTATTGGTCAGGTCTGGTGGGGACACCCGATTGACAATGCTATGGCACGCCAGAAGAAACTCTCCCACGGTAGATGGATTACTCAAGCTTCGTAGGTTACTGGTTAGGACATGTACTTCGCATGCCAGAAGACTGCCTGTCTTGCAGAGCTCTTTTCGCTCAGCCCTGTGCTGAGTGGAAGTGATCGCGAGGTGGACAGTGTATGACCAATAAACGAAGTATGAAAACACTAACTAGTAAACTTAGTCTGGTCGACAACTGCTGCCTTCCCGGATAGGGACCGCGGGACTCAACTCATCAATGGCTATTGACACTGGCAGAAACGGCCCAATCGCGTTCGTGGCGTTCGTGCACCAAAGCTATTGCCTTCAATTCGTAGCTACCTGATTTTCGAACAAACTGAACATTTCATCATTTCCGAGGTTTGGCTGTATGTCCCACACTCCCATTTTCAGGTGACGGGAACTGTGGTAGCTGGAACTATTGTGCCTATGGTACATAATTTATAGCTGATAACTTGAATTGATTTGTCCACTAAAATAAACCAAAATAAACCACTATAAAATTCAAGGAATATGTTACACATTGCTGATTTCAGCGCCCGAATTCTCTCAAATTGGGCAGCAAGTAGCTCTTGCTCAGAACGTGTTCTCTCTTTCGATCGATAAACACTGTATCGGCATACAAGACCCCAGTTTGGTCATAAAACTCAAACAACCCGGGACGAGCCAGTATTCCTCGCACTTTAGTCTTCTGATGTCTGTTCCTCCTATCTCACTGGCTCATCGCATCTGCGGTGTGGGAGTTGTGTTTAGCCCCTTGGCTGACTGCGCTCTACTGGACTGGACTGTGGTAAGTAGTCTTTGCGCTGTTACTTTGACTGGTTCAATCAAGATAAATTCGTGAGAACATTTTACAGCATGTGCATCAGTCACGGAAAATATTCAGAACCATCAATTGCTGCCTTTGGACCACTGAGTAATCTACCGAGACAGATCTTTATGTTTATTATGTAGCAGATTCACTTCCGTCAGTGAATTCAGCTGATGGCATATAGTGTTGCTCGAGATCGTATGTTCGTATTAAATGAAGTATAAACTAATAGCAGTCATTCAACTGCAACACCCTTTTGGCGCCTAGCTGCGATGGCACCCGAGGGCTGATATAGTGCTAGGTTGTCCAAATGTAAACAGGAGCAGCCGAGGTCGGTTTCGGAACATCCGGTCAGTAAGTTCTAGTCCTAGCCACTGGAATATCCCGAGTTCACGTGCGAAATAATGCGCCCTAAAATTGGACTATGCTAATGATGTAAGAACAATAATATTGTCCTGTATGTTGTTTTCCACAAACACCGTTTTTATCACCCGCGTGCATTTTGAGATGCTCTCAGGCACAGCTATATGGGTTGTTCTTAATAATCCATTGTTTTCCTCTGCAGAACTAATTATACCCCGAAACTTCTACAGAGCACCTCGTTTACTGGGTACTTGATTCACTTGATTCACTACATGGCACCGGGAGCTCAAGATACAGACTTGAGATGTCATCGCTGCTCGAAGTTTTTCAAGCTTCCAGCAACCTTAAAAGCCCATGTTCAAGGTTAGTTGTTTTACATTTTCCTCTAGTACTGATTTTTATGTGCTGTCGATTGATTTCGTGATACTGATAAAAAGTGGTCGAGAACGCTTTTTCAGTAGACAACTGTCATAATGCTTACCTGGTAGATCATTGCTAACTAATAGCTTGTCTCCTCCCCGTAACTTGAGCTAGTTTCCTAAACCAGACTTCCACTAGCAATCGTTTGTTGATATTGAAACATCCTTCTAACTATTTGCCACTTGATCGCGCCCGTTCCTCAAGTTAAACATTCGGCCGTATCTTTTTCCATATCACTAAGCATTTTCGAAGAGTTACTATTCTATGTAATTATCTCAGCCGACAGAAAAGTCGCGGATCGATGTAGTGCACTTGATGATGCCAACGAGCGATGTCAATGGCCATGTGTAACTGTTTCAGGTATGGTAGCCAAAACCTAAGCCCCATATTAGACGCTGGCATCCGTTTTTTATGGTTCTCAGTGTATTTATTTGTCAAAAACTTTCCCTAAAAGAAATCATTTTGAACTACCACTGTTCCTGACCAAGCTTTTAAAAACTTGCAGTATCTCGCCCCTCGTGCGTACTTCAACTCACATGACAGGTATATCTGGAGGGTTCTGCGACTGAAAAGCAAAGTTGAATTGCTTATTTTTACTAACATCGATCTGCCCAAGAGTACAGGCTTTCAAATACTACTTCATTTCGTATGTAATGGGACACGCATGGTGATTTTTCAAACTTGGATTTTCAATGCCTATGTGATTTTATTTTGCTCTCACCAGTATCATCGTTATCGGCCGGAACATGCGCAAACACATTTCATTACATATCTCCTTACGTATTTGGGACAGGCAACTAATGTCTTTTTGTGGCAGCTGCTACTATGACTTCATTGTTGCCTTGCATGCCTTCCTCTGGAAGGGCATCGTTTTCTCCGCAAAGAAACCTGTTCCACTTTCCATTGGTAGGGATATCGGATCCTTCGAATGAAACGTATTATGCACAGCATCTCTAAGAGCAATCTTAGTGGCTGTTTCTATGTGAAGACTTTAAGCGCCTCCGAACTTTTGGCCCAAAAGTACTTGGAGAAAGCACGAATACTCTTTCAACATGAGCTCTTCTGGACTGCAGTTTTTCCTTCCTGTATGACCTTGAGACAACGAAGCGATGGTGGTCGTCTTATGAAGGGACAAACAGCTTAAGAGTGTGCTGTGCACAGCTGCATAACCGTACCATTAGGAATTGTTAGAAGAATTATTGTACAATGAAGTGAAATCATATGGGGGCAAACTGAATTACTTTGAGATTAGCAGTGCCGTACTTTTCACACAAGATGCCCAAATTTATGGACCGTCGTATTGTCTTCTATTTGACAGCTGCTTATAATTGTATATTTCCTCCTAATTTTGTATAAATAGATATTCATATTCTTACTTTTCAAATGTGTGCAGTGCTGGACCGTCGTGTGTTAAAGATAGGAAGGAGTAGTAAGTACGAACCCTGTGTGCCAATCTTAGTTGTTGCAACAAAACGACGGAAGTTGGATAAACGTCTGTGAGATCAACAACGTCATCAAGGTGGTAAAGGAGTCAGCTGTGGCACCGAGAGTGGTCTTTTTGGTCACACTGATACTAGACGACGCGTTGTTCTTGACTGGACTATAGTCTGTCTGAATTATGCTGCTGTAGTAGTCTCTCACCCACTCAATTCAGAACCTTAGAGTCAACTTACTACAGTGGTCTGAGTACGAAGCCATACTTCGGCTTATCATTGTACACAGCAGAAAGATGTATCAGTGGATGAGTATATGACAGCCGCTGGTGACATTACTACTTGGATGTGGGTTGCCAACAGTTGCTTACTTATGAAACCGCTACTGCATTGGAGCGTTACTCCTATGGGTTGCGTGTCTATTCACTGGTTGCAATCATGAGGTCTACATCCGGTAAGTATCATATTAGCTAAACACTGTGCACCTAAGCTTTTCGTCGTTTGGTTTCAGTCGTTATCGGGTTGACACAGAAACGAGTGTAGAGTTTGTAACCGTTATTTTGGACCTGCTATGTGAGTTATCATACCGTATTGAATGCCAGATAATATTTGGGTCTTGGTGTAGATGCGTTGTTTGCTTTTCCCTGTTTTTTCACCGTTTAATTAGTCATGCCGTAGTCTTTTGTCTGGGGGATCCTGTTTTTGGAGTGAACACTTGTCTGGAACACCAATCGTTTCTATAATTGCAGATATGTATAAAATATATCCTCCGTGCTAGTTAGAGGCTCAAGTATATTGGTTCTAAAGTTTCGATATTATTCTACAAATATTGCGATACCTGCGATCGTATACGCATACGGCATCACCAGTAGTTTCTAGGCACAATACATCCACCTACCCCTGGGTTTTTCTCATATTCTCATCTCTTTGAGGTGTAGGGGTCACTGCAAAGAAGCATTATTCACAGGAGTCCTTGGAATAAAAAAAATGTGAATCTATTTTGAAATTTTGAGTTTGATGAAATGCTACTGTTTCGTTCTTCCCTACTCTTCTCTTTCCCAGTGTGTTTTCAAAGCAATGCTGAACTACGCTTCCAGTGCGAAGTCTGCACCAAACGCTTTCGAACACAGATTCAGTTTACTCGCCACAGCTATTATGCACATTCTCAAAGAACCCTTGTATGTCCAGAGTCTGGTAGGTGTCAGTTTTTTTCGAAGTTCATTACCCTGCTTCCCAACAATGTGGGATTTAATTCATTTTAGGTCACCCCCATCATTTCGCCCAGTTTTATTCTCATAGTTGTCATACACCAGCTTATTTATCGCATACTGCTAAGCGATTTTGCGCCATTTATCCCTGAACTCCACCACTGTTGAGTACACTTGTGTAGCAGAGAGTGGCAACACTAGTAAACTAAATTGCCCTGGCTCATAGTGCACTATCTCGTTTTAAGAAAAAATTCCTTGCGGTTGACGCAAACCGTTTTTTTAAAAGCTTCTCTTGGTTCTACGAAGAATGTGTAGAATAATGTGACCAATTTCCGTGTCTAAGTCCTCCGAGAAATTCTTAGATTGTTATCTGTAGTTCGCATTAATCGCTCGCTTTTGGTGCACACAGGCGATGCATCAGTTCTCATGATGGTTCTGACTGAGGCGGGCCCGTCAGTTGCCGTGGGGAGCTTGGGTCATTTCAGTTTTGTGATACATAAGAAGCATTGGGGAGCTAGATGCTCTGGTGGAGTATATCCATAGTGAACATCAAAGTTTACCTTCTTTCACCTGCGACTAAGGCTGTATTGGATCTATTCATCCATAACTTGCGTTTATGTACGTTTAAACCTCATAACATTTCAGCATGCGGTCGCGTATGTTACTCACAGTCCCACTTGAAAAACCATATGATCACCCACACAACTGATCGACCGCATCCCTGTCCGTTTCCCGGCTGTTCTTACCGTGCTCGAACCGCGGGGCGCCTGGAACAACACAGGGTTGTTCATGGCGAGGGTAAGTCGCTCTCCCGGTCTTGCTTTGTCTGTTTACTCCTATCAGTTTCCGATGTCGTCTTAGAAACCAGTGACACAAACTATCCTGTCCAACCATATGTATGTTGTGGACCGAGTGATAGGACCGGAGCCAACCTACTCCTACTAAAATAGCACCTGTCGCTTGATACACAATCTCTGATAGAGATGCAACCTTATAGTGGTGCGACCTCTGGAGATCCGTTAAAATGCTATTTTGATATCATTACAAATCCCACATGGTCTACCCAGATTGGTCAGTAAATGGGGGCCTAGTGAACACTGTCTCGTCATCCAGGCTAAACGGATACTCTGATTATAAGTCCACGCCAACCTCCCCTCTTTTGAGTCAAAGTCCTAATCGTCCTTTGCAAATTTGGACGCTCTGGCATCATCCTAGTTCGTGTGCAGCCGTGCAGCAGTGAGACATTTCTTTGTCCTTCATAAATGATTACAGTCCTCTTAATTAGATGTTCCACTTTTTTCACTCCTCACTGTTCCCTCACGAAGAGACTACGGTGTGGTGGTTTCTGTGTGTCTGTAACCCATTGAGCTTTAATGGGTAGTGTCCATGCGGCACTCAGTCTCCCATACCATACTGACCAATGGCAATGCACTTGCATGTCCCGTCAAACAGTGCTGCCTTGTGGTCACGTTTTGGGCCGAGTGCTTTTGTTGAGGACCCTAATCGTCCTCCTGCGTAGGTCTGGGCGCCCTGGCAGTATCCAAACCCATGTACAACTAAAAATAATCCCATGCCGCATCAATCGTCGCGTGGTGCCGTCCGCCGGGTTACCTTACTCGATGCACACTTCAGGGAAGGTATGCGAAAACATGCTACTGTTGCCGCCTCTCTCGTTACACTTTCACGTTCTCCCTCTTTTACCCTAATCCACCCTCGATTGAATAGTCTCTCCGCAGGTCCCAGCACTGGGAATGATCACTTTGTTCACTGTGCATCACACTCAGCTGCAGCTTCTGTACATCCCACTTCAGTATGAACCATAAATACTTCGAAGGACTCTTCAACGTTCCTATACTGAAGCAATCAGGACGACAGGTGGCTCTTGCTCGTGTGCTGGATTTCCTCTGCATTGACGTATGTCGCCTGTCAGAAACGAGAATATAGAGCGCAAATATTGTGATTATATTGAGCCCCCCACTCTCTTCCAGTTTCTGACTACAAAACTCTGATGATGCAGAGGAAGCTGCAGCTGAATATACTGGTATCAGTATTGTATTGAGCGGAAGCGTCTCTACTTGACTGGGTACTCGTTGACAGTCGCGGTTCATTTGGCAACGTCTGTTAGAGAATCCCAAAAAGGTAAGGCCCATCGCTTCCTGTAGCTCTGAATCTGCCAAAGATAGTTGCTATGACGCTCTAGGTGCTCTTATAAAAGGGGCTAAAAGGTCAGATGTCGTTGTGGTTGGTGGCGACATGAACACCCATGCAGGTAGAGTAAGAGCTGCTGAGGCCCGATTGACCGGTTGTCTTGGGTTGGATACGACACTCACTGACAACGGACATCGCCTTTTCCAGATGTGCGCCGATCACAGATGTTCCTTTGCATTACGAGTTTCCAAAACAGCGGAAGTCACTCGACGACGCGGTGCTCACCAACGAACTACTCCAGAATCCAAATCGACCACATTGTTGTCAGTGGCAAGGATTGGTCGTTGCCTGCTTCTCCTTCTAGAACACCAGCGTCAACTCTGACCATGCTTTGATGTGCTGCTACTTTTCACTGAGCCTTTCAGGTTTACCCGAAACGCGCACACCTTGCTTAGCCATTGAGGAGCTTGTGGGCTCAGAAATCAAACGTAACTATCTGAGCCGGCTCCTGAACGCCTGCCCGACGGTCCAATATCGAACATAAACGGCTACTGGCGAAAGATATCCAGAGCGGAACTTCTGTTGACAGCAACCTCATTCAACTATTGGATCTCTGTTGGAACTGTGGCTTTGCTGAAGACTGGTCAACGGATTCCTCCTCACCGCAACCACAACGCAATTGGGCGCATTATCCGACGCCAGGTGAAACTGAGTGTCTGTGTAGACTGCGAAGCCTGATGGACCCGAAAGGCCGAAGAAACGAAAGAGCGAAAAATGCTGGAAACATCCGCAAGTTGTTCCAATTAGTTCGTTTAACTGATCCGTGGAAGCCTCTTATTATGTCAATTATCAGGAGCCAAAATGGCTCGCTAATATCCAGCGAAACAAGTTTTGGACCGCTGAGCAGAGTATTTCGAACAACAATTCAGTTGGCCGCCTGTTAACTCCAGTCCAGAATCCTGGTCTTCAACAAGAAGGTGAACTGCGAATATGTAACCAATCCAACCTCAGAAGTGTTCGATTGTATATCTCTACTCAGGCGTCATCGTGCTGCTGGTCCTGACTACCTTGCACTTGCTCTGTTCAAGGATGGCAGTGGGTTTCTCGGCCACTGCCTGTCTAGCCTATTAGGGTTTATCTTGGAGAAAGATACCGTCCCAGACAATTGGAGTGATTAGATAATTGTATCCATTTTCAAAAGGGCACTCGCAGCGAATATCATAACCACATAGGTGTGACAAGGCCTCTGGCGTCATTGATTCTTCGTCATTTTACAGTGGAACGCGATATCCTGAATCATGAGAATCAGGTGGATTCTCAACTGGGTATAGGATGCGTTGACCGTCAGGTCAGACGACTGCAAGGGTGACTTCGATTCTGTCTATCGGCAATTGCTGTTGACCACATTTACTCAACGGTTTCCCCCCAGAAGTTGGTGAACACAATCCGGTTCCTATATTCACATACTTCTGCGCGTTTGAGCATGTGTGGTGAGCTCTCTAAAAGCCTCCCTACAAAAAGTGGTATCCGACAAGGATGCCCACTCGCCCACTCCATTCTTACTCAACTCTGTCAGTGATAAAAACCATCGGGAAAGTGCCGCATGGTCTTCAAAACCCCGGTGTTCAGATCGTTGCTGGTGCGAACCTTGTCGATCTGGGACACGGAGACGACGTCGCCCCCATTTTTGAAGACCAAGGCGAAGCACAACCTCTATTGAATAAACTGACAAACGTCATACCGCCTTTCGGTATGCGCTTAGCACCTTCAAAGTACAAATTCATCCTTCAGAACAGTCTCTGAACATACCCCTTACAATTCAAAGAGAGTCACGTGAGGTTGTGAAGAATTTCACACACCTCAGTAGTGGTATTATCTCTGACGGAAGTGTGTCTGATAGAGTCGGTGCGAGAATCTCAAAGGCCAGAATCGCATTTGCTAATTTCGGTCACCCACTCTTTTTGTCTTCTTTTCACACTAAAGATTTTAATGTAATTAGACAAACTTTGTGTTTTTAGGGCAGCGGAACATCAATGTCAGTGCTGATGTTGCTGTATCTGATGATGATGATGATGGCTCCTTATCATTGTTGCTTCCAGGTTTACATTAGGATTTGGACACTAGAATTTGGAATTAGGATTCGAGTGCTGTGTATAGGGTTTGAGTGTAGTGCATCTCTTCAAAGATTTGAAATGTCCTCATCCTAGGTAGGCTACATAATGCAGTGATGGACCTTGGAGTTTACTGTATGCTGGATTGTAATGAGATTACTCGAATTTATCTGATATGTTTAGCCGGTAACATACGGTACATTACATTTTACAGTTCGGTCCGTCCTACATTCTAGAGGAGTCTGACCTAGGTTAGGCCTTGCCTCGGTAGTTTATAGTAACTGCAAACATTCTCCCATTGTTTTATGGAATTCACCAAGTACCTAATTGGGTTCTTTACCCTGTCGTTTGTTCGATACACAGAGTCTGTGTATAGGGTGGGGCCTCATGCAGGCAAAGGGGACGAGATGACTCGGTAGTTAGAGCTCGAATTTACTGACCGGAGGGTCCGTGGCTCAAACCCGATCTCTGCATCCGAACTTCCCCTGTTCTAGGCTTGGGCAGTCTGGCAGTATCCCAGCCCTCGTGCTTCCTTCGGCTGGCATGGCAGCTAGGCACTGAAAGAGTGGTACAGGCGAACGATTATCTTTTTTATTGTCATATAGGCAAACAGGTTCAGCGTGTAAAAAAGTTTGACCTCCGGTTGGCGCCACTCTTCGCTCTTGTTGGTTTTTATCTCAGAGTCAGGTATATTCATGAAAATCTCATAGACTATATTTCGAAAGCTCTAATCAATCGAGACGGGTAGAATACTCTGTCTTCACGATAGCGCAACTATTCCTGTTGGAAGAAATCAGTTTTGTTTTCAGCTATTACAGCAATACGGATAGAGGCAAGTTTTATTGTGTCAGCTCGAGCTTCTTCCAAGGCGAAATGGATCTACCATGTTTAGTTAGCTATCTATACGTAGTTGCTGGATACCATATGTCGCAATCGGACGTTTACGGTAGTGTTCTAGTTAGTTGAGTTATTTTTATGTGATGATCACGCCCTCGACGATTGGTTCACAATTTTCATTACTCTGCTAATTTCTTACACCATAGGTAGGCGATTTCCTTGTGACTACTGTGATTACAGCGCTACAACTTCATCTAACTTGAGACGGCATTCCCGCATCCACGCCGGTGCTCGTCCTTACCGTTGCCCACACTGTGGCCACAGAACGTACTCGTTGGATGCACTGAAGAAGCACGTGTTGGATTCAGGCCGACATCCTGGTCTTCCACTGTACCTTTGTCCTTGGTGTCCGGGCCCTAATGGTGCGACGTCTAGGAGTGTGTGCGTGGGCTTCAATGCATCTAACCTGGCCTGGCGCCATTTTCTGACTGAACATGCAAAAGAACTCGCCAGTTCCGACATTTTTAAACGCGTCAGTAATTCGGCAAAGAAAACCCTTCTTGAGGCAAGTAGACTTGTTGTTTGGGGGTTCGTGTCAGCTACACGTCCCTACCTTTTTTTACTACCTGATTGCAATGAAAATGATGTCACAGGATTTTTATCTCATGTGTGCACCGTATGGAACACAGTGCAGGTATTGTTGTAAGCTATATGTCGAAAGGGTTGTCTACAAATCCTTGTTCAGTTCGTGTGGCTGTGTACAATTTTCAAAGGCGCATGTTCTAACTGGGTGGTATTGTGATAGGGTAAGTTACAGTCCGGTTGGTAATGGGGATACAGTGGTAAATAAGTGGTATCCCCTGTAACCAAAAGAAAGGGAGTATTTGGTCTATCCAAGCGGTTGGATCCTCTTCAAAAGGAGACTTGCCAGAAAAATCCTTGCTGCAGGGGATCGCTGTTTTAGACTGTGCATAGGAATGACCTCTGAATGCTGTCATCGGGGGTATACCTTAGTAGAAATTCGGATCATGTGTTCCGTGACAGTATCATGATGATGACAGGACAGTGTACTGTGTTCAAAGGACTTGTTCTCACACTTGTATTCTGCATGTTGTTCACACTGCACAGTGAAGCCGATTACTCCCATCAGCTCACTTCAACTCACAACGGACCAAGTCACATCCAATCTAACGGTCTGCTGGAAAGTACAATTCGAACGGTTATTGAGGATTTTTGAGTGGGTATGGTTCATTTGGACACTGAAGAGAGATGTCGTTGCAAATGAAGATTTGCTAGAGCCTGTGGGGTCATTGTTAACAGTTCAGGTAAACATATTTAGCCACACGAGTGTTTCTAAAATCGGCTTCGCTGTGATGCCGACATCTACGCCGAGGGTTAACCGAATTGGTCCAACACTTTAGTTACAGCACGGCTTTAGTGTCTTAATAGTTATGTGTAGTTGTAGTGGTATATATATATATATATATATATATATATATATATATAGTATTCACC